ACTTATTTTATACCATTATAAGGTAGTACAAGAATTTAGACTTTTTCCTGATGCCTCTCACAATTGCCCCAAGTGCTTGAGGTTTGCTCATAGTTGTATATGGATGTTGTCTAGTCACAAGCTCCTAAACACAAAAATGAGATAGGTGTCTATTCTGTACTGTGGGTCAGATTATAGATATGGACTTACAAAGACAGTCATACCAAATGCCCAGACATCTGTCTCTTTTGTATGTGTTGAAGTATTTGTGGAAAACAGCTTGTAAGCAAAATAAAGGACAGTGCCTCAGGTTTTGGAACTCAAATTCGCCAGACTTCGGCTTGCAGACAAGAGACAAGAGAAGCCAAAGTCACTAATGAGAGCATTCCCAAGTTCAGAGACAAGAACATTCTCCTAAAGCAATTTTTTTTACTACAGATTAACCAACTGATACTCCCTACCATCAGTTACAGACTTCATGTCACAGTGAATGACACCTTTTGAGTGGAGGTATGCAAGACCTTGTGCAGTTCCGTCTATCTTCAACAATGTTTGATCATGAAAAAAGTCAGGACTCAGGAGTAAGCATCTTTACCAGGTGTATAACATCAGCTTCTGGATTCTCATTAGAAAACTTCCAGGCCGACCCATTAACCATATAATCAGAAACCAACAAAGGAGAATTATCGAAGTCATAGCCCAGAAAAGGCAGAATGTTGTTGTGCCATAACTTGGACCACACATAAACCTCTTTATCAAACATCTTAAGATAATAGAACTGAGTCAGATTAGTGTATTCTTGCATTAAGGTAATGTATGTACAAGTTTAATATCCTGCTTTAAGTGTAAATGCAGACGTTTAATGGCCACTTTCTTCTTCCCTCCATCTGACAGGTGGCAGATTCCTTTGAAAACGTCTGCATATGCTCCTCCCCCAATTGGGTCAGATTCAGAGTATTCAAGGCAACCTGATAAATCCAAGTGATGTAAGTCTTGTAGGACCTTAGAGTCCAGCAACAACAGTTTAGACGCTTTACTGGATGCTACAAGAGTAGTCGAGGGCGTCTCTGACATGGCTAGGAGGATGGCAAAAGATGGTCAATGTGAAACAGCCTCAGAATGCCTCTCTTATACTCATATGGTCGAGCTATACTCCTTCACAAGGTTTGTCGATGCATGGCATGAACTGAGAACCTTACATCTGCTTCCGGTCCGAGATTTCTCCAGAAACAGGTACCATATAAATGTATAAGCTCTGATTGGCCAGAAACTGGTTAGTGTATAAGTAGGGGAATGAACTTGTTCCTAGAAAGGTGTGCCACAATACTATACCCCCTTCTGTGATGGAACAGAAGGGAATCGATGTTGGACTAGGGAGCTAGAACATAACACGTGTGAGTGAATCTGTGCCTTGTATAATGGAGGAGAGCCTTTACTGATGAGTTACAAGGAACTCCGAGGACAAGTTTATTTTAACAAAATGTAAAGATTATTGGCTTACTCTAACTATTAGTTTGCCAAGTGCAGCAAAACAGTCATTCTCATAGTCAGTAAGAACTAGACTTGACCTATTCATTTATGGCGCAAGTCATCCATCTGATGCTCCATACTACTGAGTGCGAAATCCATGGCTTTTTTGCTGAGTCCTCTACAGGTATAAGCTCGGGAACCGGAATATAACACGTGTTGGAAGAAAGTTTAACCAATAGAATGGAGGTGCAATAGTATTGAAGCTGAGTTAGCTGAGTTGTGAGTTATAAGGACTCCGAGGGCAAGTCAGACAGAACATCATAATTAAGACTGGGAGATAGTACAAACGTGTACAACTACTTATTGAGATATTACAAAGACAAGAATATTTGCAGTATTACTTGTTATGGCTACTCCTTCCTTTTTGATTCTGACTATGTTCCTAATCAAATAAAAGTGTATAATTTATTGCAATTCTCTAGTCACTGTCTACTCTATTACAGTCTCATATATTCTTAACTAAGATGAGTATCCTCTTAGTTTTATTTTCCTTTATCATTTATTTATCACATACTATTATATAACTATTTGTGAAAGTATTACTATATGAATAAAAGTTTTCTATATTCCTGACTGTCTTTATTTGTCTACTACTTTACATGTAGAGACACAAACATAGTAGACATATTATAATATGTTAACTAGTCATATTTGTATTTATTTGCATTATATGCCAAACCATATTCTAAAGCATGTCTCTGATAAGGCAATAAGAAAATAATTCAGAATATAATACAAATATAGTTGTATACTATATTCTAATTTGTTTACTATGAAAGAGTATAAAGTAAAGAAAGAAAAAACTAACTAACTAACAAACAAACAAATTGACTGAACAAATACCAACTTACACTAACACTAAATGCTAGACATTAGAATTAAATATTAACTATTAGAATATACTCAACAGACTATCAGACTATTAGACTATACAGATACAGTATTAATGTAAGATTAAGGTTGTTATATTCTGACATGTTTACTTTATAGTAATAACAGAGTAATATGTCTTTTCAATCAAATAACTTACAAGTAAACAACTAAAACTGAATTTTTTAATTAAAAAAATGAGAATATGTAACCATTGCATTGCATTACATTATAAGCAGAGACATTGTGTGTGTACAACTACTGTATGTAGAGGAGAGACAGACAGTACAGGAAAAGAGAAGAAAAAGGTAGTAGTGGTAGGGGGTGATAGACTAAAAGAAAAGGATGTGGACAACTGACACCAACATCAGACATCAATCATCAAACATTGCATATCACTCACTAAAGACAACGTACCAAGTATAACATTGCAAAAGTACTAATGTCATCAAGAAAAACAAAACACACAGAGACACAGCAGTAGACAGTGGAGACAAAGGTACTGTATGTAGTACGCGTATGTATACGAACTAAAACAGATAAACTCAGAAAACTAGAAAAAAAGTAAAAAGTAAAAAGGAATAAGAGAAAGTAAGAGAAAGTAAGAAGAGAGAAGTAAAGAAATAATAAGTAAGGCATAAGGGCACAACAAATAAGCGTGCGAATAAGCTGAGAAAAGAAAAGAATAAAGGAGAAGAATGGGATGTGACGCGAGAGCAAGAGACAAGACAAGATGTATACGATTACGCAGTGACACATATTGACGCTGATGAGGAGAGAAGAGAAGTGCGGAAGGAATAATATTGCGATGACGATGACAATGAGAAACGACGATGAGGATGAACGACGACGACGGTGTGTGAAATGCGCGTGAGATGCAAAAAACTAGTGCCGATGAGGAAATATATAACAACAGCTAAAGTAGGTAAAAGGAAAAAAAAGAAAAGAAAACGGCAACTAAAGAAATCTAATAAAAAAAACACCTAAGCTAAAAGACCAAGCAGCTTCTCACTGTCCATGGACTTGCTAGCTATTCGCGTCCGTCGTTCCTCATCTACATCCAATTTTGCTCCCTTCATCATAATAGCCATCAAACTAAACGCCTTCGGCGCATCAATAGCAATATCATCCAACACCTCCGCAGCAACCCCAAACCCTTCTTCGAAACTCGCAGGCGAACACAGGTTCCTCGATACCGCCCGCTCGAATAAGTCTGCTACGAGCTTTGCGTCGGCCTCCTTTGCTTCGAGAGCGTATAAGATGAGCTTTTCGACGAGGATATGTCTATGTTCTGAGGGAAGAACGGAGAAATATTCTTCGCCTTCGGCGAGATCACGAATAGCGAAGAACTCTTTCTTATCTTGTTCGACCTTTTTCTCCGCGTCTTCTTTCGACATCGATGCCTTCCCGGTATCCTCGAGAATCTCACCCTCCTCGCCTTCTTCGTCCTCGTGACTTTTGGCGGGGCTAGGCTCAGATCTCTCCAGTAATGGCTTCGATCGAGGAAGCAAGTTCAACTTGGGTCGTTGAGTAGGTGCAGCAGACTCCGCAGGTGCGCCGCCGTGAGTTAAATCAACACTCGCCGTCCGACTTGACGGTCGACTCGCTCGAGAAGAGGTAGAAGCAACAGCAACAGGAGTCTCTCCCGCTGCCTCAGCAGCCTGTAACATCTGGAACATATTCGTATTCGAGCTCGCCCGAGAAAGGCTTGCGCTATCACGCTTCGTGTCGCCCTTCTTTGTGAAAACACTAGATGGTCCAAAGGTCATCGTGCTACCCTTTTGAATCTTGCCGAAGTTCGTCAAGTCTCCTGCTTTGTTGGGTGGTCGTGAAGGACCAGATGCAACAGCCCAACCATCAGCTCCAACTTGAGCATTTCCATCCCGGTCCTGCCCACGACGTGAACCACCACGAGACATTGCTGAACGTGCCAAATTATGCTGTTCTTGTTGTGCCTTCTCCTTCGCAGCCTAAGCAAAACATAGGCATAAATACCGCTAAGCAATAGTAAATAAACAATACCACATACCGTCTCGTGTACTTGCGCGAGCGTCGTTGGAGCATTAGTCAGAGAACGAGGTATCCATTTCCGTTCTCGCAATTCAATGACATCCTACGCACAAAAATAAATTAGCTTTTCCTTCACATTTACCTATTACTAAGGGCACACGTACTTGTAACATGAACTGCATTCGAGAAGAAACGTTGCTACTCTTCGACAGCTCCTTCATTCGGCTGAAGTACACATCCATGTGCCCTCGAGCCTTCGACGTATCAAGTGCCTGACCAACAGTAGTCAAAAGCTTACACAAGCTCTCAATCTCCTCTTCTTCCGGATTATCGACATTACTGAGCAGCTTCTTGATACACTCGTGCATAATTCGCTCCGTAAGCATCTGAAGCTTGAACAGTTCACCGATAAACTTGATAAGCCCAAGACCCTGTCGTTTCGCCTTCTGAGCAGCATAATACTCTTCAGAGTACAGCGCACTCTCTTCACCGGCTTCCTTGTTCTTGTCGTTGGCGTTTTTGATTGCTGCATCTTCGGTTGCCTTAACGAGAGCAGCTGCAGCAGTTGACTCCTTCTGCGACCAACCGCGTTCGAAATCTTCTTGACACCGGTTCAAAAGGTATTTGCGGAAAAGAAGACCACCAGTGATGGGCTTGCCCTCATTGTTTCGAATACCATCGTCCTGAACGTGCGGGCTAATTTGCTCCATCATCTTTCGGCATAATCGAGCATACATCTCGCTCCACGCAGCTTCATCAGTCGCCTTCTCGAACACAAGTCGGATAACCTGAATGAGCGTACGTCCATCCTTCTCCGACTCACTCTTGTTCGCCCACGTGATAATCTGGTTCGAGATAGACTCGAACTTCTCCATCGTAAGTTTGTTAAGCAGCGCTCGGACTTTCTTGTCGACGACCTCTGGCGAATCTTGGTCAACAGGAGCACCTCGCTTACCAGTTGTGCTGGCGGCGACCCAACGATTCGCAGACTGCTCGAGTGGAGCCACGGGTTCAAAGGACATAGTCGCGCTCTGGTTGTATTGCGATGCAGATGCGTTGATGCGGTTCGTCTCATTGCGAGTCGCATCACCACGCTTGCTCCGAGTCCGTTTGTTGCCCATAGCACCTGGTCCTCCCTGGCTCGAAGAACGTTGCATAGGCGAAGGTCGACCTCCCGGGAACGGAAGTCCACCGGGTCCACCGCTCATCGATGTCGAACGTATAAATCGCTCTTCACTCGAAAGTTTGTTCGGAGCAGTACTAAAGTTGCCCATAGCGAAACCGGAGCCAGGCTTGCCACCGAAGCCGTTCAATGCACCGATACCGAGGCCAATGGACGCCTGTCGTGACGCCGTAGAAGACGGGGGACCCATTCCACCGGAAACACCTCGGCGACCAGAGCCACCACGGCCCATAGAATGAGACTGGTCGGAAGGCTCAAGGCCAATGGCCTCGAGAGGCGGAAGATTATCCGGCTTCTCCTTACACACCGACATAAACTGAAGTAGGAAATCCCGATCGTACCTATTTCGAAACAAAGACCATTGTTAGCATACAGCTTGTAAAGTATAAAGACAAAGGCATTCAAACCTGAATTTCCCATCCTTCGCATTCGTGTTGAGTTCCGGCTTGGGGCTTTTGATACCTTCCGGGTAGGGAACCTGATAAACATCCTGAATGTGACGAGCGGTGGCGAGAGCAGAAGGGAGGGGCTGAGGTATGGATTTATGGGTGGTAGTTGAGAGGTCAAGGGGGCCAGGGATAGGTCGTCGCTTGGAGGTTTCGGGCGACGTGGAAAGAGGAACATCGGAGGCGGGTGCAGCAGCATCACCCTCTTTCTTCGATTTAATTTCAAGTGCAGCAGGCTTCGGTCTTTCAACATCGGCTTTCGCCTCAGCCTCAGCTTTTGCCTTCGCATCTTCCTCCTCTTTCCGTTGACGTTCCTCTTCTTCAGCCTTTTGCTGACGTTCCTCCTCCTCTCTACGTTGACGTTCTTCCTGCTCCTGTCGTTCCCGCTCCTCTGCCTCCTTTCGTGCGCATTCCTCCTCTTCCTTACGCACCCGCTCTTCCTCTTCCTTTCGGAGTCGCTCCTTTTCTTCTTCCTCTTTGCGCAACCGCTGCCTCTCCTCTTCCTCCTCCTTCCTCTTTCGTTCCTCCTCCTCCAATCGTAACCGCTCCTTTTCTTCCTCCTCCTTGCGCAACCGCTCCTCCTCTACCTTGCGCTTCCTGTCTTCCTCAGCTCGTATCCTCTCCTCCTCGGCAGCCTTCGCCCTGGCTTCCTCCTCCTGGCGTTTCCTCTCCTCAGCCTCCTTCGCCTCACGTTTCTTCCGCTCGCCCTCCTCTTTCGCTTTCTTCTCCCGTTCCTCGTCAGCGATCCTCTTCAGTCGCATCTCCTCCGACTCCAGCCGAATGGCCGTCGTCCGTCGACCATTCTTGTCGGAGGCAGGAGTGGAGGGGGTGGTTGAAGGAGTAGCACCCTGCTTTCGAAGCCCATTCAAGTCGACTTCATGGCCCGAAGCATCCTTAATAACTACTCTGTTCGGGCGTTGAGACTGCATCTGCGCTCCCGAAGGGACAAAGGCGCTGGCATTGGAATTTAGACGCGGACCAGCGCTAGGAAGGGGAGCTGGAACTCCCGCAGGTGGAGTTCCCGGCGCTTGCAACGGGGGAGGTGGGACACGCGGCGAAGCCACGGGTAGACCGTGGGAGTGCGAAAGGGGGGTCTGCGGCGGTCCGCTGGCGCCGGACGGCGGTTGGTGGGGGTGCTGGGGTGGATGCATAGGCCAACCTGGCTGTTGGTATTGCATGTAATGCTCAACACCGGGCATAGCTTGCATCGGCATACCAGGCATGTAGGGATACTAGAGTAAAATTAGAACGGGCGATATAGTGAAAGATGAGCAATACTGACATAGTAACCAGGCCATCCAGGAACAGCCTGCATTTGCGCATGCGGAGGCATGCCTTGAACTGGGGCAGCCTGCTGGTGCTGGTGCTGATGCTGTTGATGTGGCATATGCGGTTGCGGCGGTGCAAGCCGAGGAGAGGGCACGTTGCTATTATTCGCACCGGGAGGCGGATTAGTCACGGGCGGTCTACCGCCAGCACCATTCGGCATCCCTCGTTGGAAGGACGGCGATCGGGGTCCGCCTCCGGCTCCCTGATTGCGCATATTCGCAGGGATGAACGGCTGAGGATACCCTTGTGGATGTTGCTGATGGGGTTGTGCGTGGGGGTGTGGACCGTGCGGGGGAGGTCCGGGAGGATTTTGAGTGTGAGTAGGAGGTACGGCGGGCGATAAGGTATTTGAGCGCATTGGCGGAGAAGCCACGCTCTCAGGGAATGAGGAAGTTACAGGAGACGATGTTTTTGCGTCGCCGCCATTATTAGTCCCACGGAATAGGGCGCTAACGTCGACCTTTGGTTTGTTGTGGGGGGTTGTGGCGGACGTCGCAGTCGATATTGACGTCGCCGACGAAGCAGACGCCGCCGAAGAAGATGCAGTAGCAGACGATACAGAGGAGGCAGACGACACGGACGGCTTAGCCGTCGTCGGCATACTGCTCTGAGTTGCTTCGATCGAGCCAAAGGACTGCACAGGCTGTCGTGACTCTGTTTTAGAGCTAGGCGGTGCAGGGGCCGGCGATGTGGCCGGAGAAGAAGTAGTGTTGGTTTTGTCAGAGGCGGAACCATTGACGGTGCCGAAGTTTATCGGATTTGCTGCGGTTTTTGTGTTAGACGGGGGAGAAGATAAATGAGGCAAAAAAAAGGATAGAGCGAGAATGCATGACGTACTCGTCGTCCTGGTCGGAACATTGCCTCTTGACCCACCCGCGATTCCAACACCGACGGCGTCCTTGAAGCTTGCATGCTGCGAAGATCGTCTCGAGTGTGTCTGCGAGGTGGCCTGGGAAGGGTTTACGGCTGGTGATTGTGGACGAGGCGAAGGGGCGGAAGATGTGGATGTGGACGATGGAGGGGGCGGACCCTTGGCCCAAGCGTTGTTTTTCGAGAGCGGACCGGCTGGCTTTGCTACAGACGTTAATGGCGCTTTGCTCATTCTGCGAGAATGAGCACGATGATTGAGGAAGGTGAGACAAAGGACTCACAGATTGTGTAGACGGGGTTGTTTCTAAAGTGATTGGGAGTCGAAGCCTTTTTGCAAAAGATGCTGTTATGGTCGTAAGAAGAGACCTGCCAGCAGGCACACGTATATGTGATAAGCCGACGCTGGGAGTGGCTGCGGTGAATGCGAAGAGGGAGGGACTAGAGGCAGTCCGGGGAATAGCTAGAGGTCGTCCTTTTGGAGGGACGACGCAGCAGGAGGCAAGAGCCGTGAAAGCGAAGGCGGCGGATGAACCCAAAGCACCCCGTGGGAGCGAATACCCTTTCTGGCACTCGACTACTACTCAATAAATAGGCATATCTCTACAGTACGGTACAATATCGACTACACGCTTACACAAATCCAGAGAAAAAAAATATCCAATAAAAAGGAACATAATTTCATGAAACGGGGCACTTCACGAGGCGAGGCAGTCATTACTAACACGCGTCCGATGCTCATCCTTCTTCCCCACTCTCCGCTCCCTTTCGGTGTTCTTCCGGCTATGTCTTCTGCCAACCATGCCGAGACCGGTATTAATGGCCAAGACTTCGTTCACTATAAGTCGAAGTAATCGTCCATGTTCTGAAAAGGTACCACCAAAATGCGTCAACCCCCCGCAAGTAGTAAAGCCGAGAAAAAAGGGCTTAATTAAACTCACGATTATACGGGAGCTTGATAACTGCACAAAATAAAGTTAAAAGTTTAGTTAACGACTACATATGTTTATTGCGGTTCCGCTGACCTGCGGGTTCTGCATAGTATCCTTCCTCTTCAAATGTGTCCTACAAAAATTAAGTATCCCGGTCAGTCCAATCGATACGGGCGAAAAAGCGGATCTCATCAAAACCCGTCAACGATAATACGCACCGGACCGAAGTCAGCAGTTCATCATAAGTACTCTTCCTCCTCGTCTCTAATAAATCGCAGAAATACCTCAATTTCCGATAAGTTTCACTAGGACAGCTGATGGTACTCACTCAAGCTATCGATGAACGCCTAACAGCCGCACAAACGAACAAAAGTTAAATTAGAATTGATTTCCATCTCCAATAAAATGAAAGAAGAAAAGAAAAGAAACTAAGAGTCTGCCTCACCTTCGTCAACATCCCCCTCACCCGCTTATGTTCATCCTCATGATCCTGCTTCTCATACGCCCTCTCAGCATCTGCACAAGCTGAAAGGAGTACGACGTTTCCTTCGCTGTGTTTTCGTATCGCTGGGAAGTGTTGTTGTTGTTGTTGAGCAGATTGGGGTGAGGGTGGATGAGCTGCGTTGGCGTTGAATGGGAGATCTATATTCACGTAATTAGTTGTGTCAGTTTTTTTTTGTACAGTAACTTGATGTGGTGTGTAACGGACCTAGACTTGTGCCAGAGGAACAGCAATCCAATAATGCCTACCAAATGAAATCGGCATTAAAGTTTATAACGAAAATGTATTTTGACTTACAGTCAAGTGACAGCCAGCCGGCAAAGGCTTGACCAATATATCATGCAACTCATCGTCAACAAGCATCTCTCCATCGCACGAGATGATGACTGAAACATAACCGTCAGTCAGGTCGTTCAGCTCTGTATTCTTTCACCCACCTTCATCCATTCCGTCGTCTTCATCGCCATCTGTATCGAGTACTTGCCCTCCATGGCCGGAAACTAGTGAAGTTAGGTATCGTTAATTATGCTGGAGTGCCGTCAATGAGTTTAGGGCTTACAGTAGAAGAAAAGGTGATCTCCGGGCCTGGCGTCTTCTACAAGACTTGCGAGCTCGCGTTTCTTTACAACAGTAAGCACTCCACAGAGAATGTTTGTAGTAATAGGTTAGGTACCCACGATATTCTCAAGCGTCGGTTGGTTCCTAGCCAGACCATTATCATCCTTCAACACCCGAAAACAATCCTTGCCCCATCCGAAGACATCTTAAAAAGATATCAACTCCCTGTACTCATTACGCTTTCGAAGACGATGGACATACCAGTCAACAACCTCTGAACCTCCCTCACATCATGATGCGGCCCCTTCAAACTCTTCAACCTCGGATTCTTATTCCTGTAATACTTAATACCAATCTAATTATCAAATCGGATCAAATAGGCAATCAGTTTTACTATTTGACGTGAGAAGAAAAGAGAAGAGAGTCTCACCAAGAGAGCCTTCCTTCTGCCTTTCCTAGGCATTCCAGGACGAGGGCTTTTTTTCTCGTGTACTTCTGCACCGAATGCGGGGAAGGTTGCTGACATGGGCGAGGCCACTACACCACCGGCGGGGAACGTCGCTGACATGGGCGAAGCAGTGAGCCCACCAGCGGGGAACGTAGCTGACATCGGCGAAGCAACGAGCCCACCAGCGGGGAACGTAGCTGACATGGGTGACGCAACGAGTTCACCAGTAGGGAACTCGCTAGCCATTGGAGACAAAGTGATAAATTGTCCGTGTCCTTCGTGTGTGTGGTGATTATGCACTGGAGATGGAAAAGCGTCGGATTCGGGTGATAGGACGAGCGATGAGCTCCCAGGTTCGACGAAAAGGGATTGCAAGGATTTCACCTCTTCGTCGTAGTTGTCGGGCTCCTCTACGAAGAACGTGGGTGGTTCTTGCATTAGAGACTTGTCATCGGCACCAGAGTCTTCAGCTAGACTGCTTTCCGAACTATCGGAAAGGTTGAGTAGTGATGTTTCCTGTAGAAGTGTTTCTCTAAAGAACTGTTAGCGATGCACGCTCTTTATTGTGTTAGATGAAATTGGCTAACATCTGAGGAACCTCATATGTCGAATTCCCGGTGGATGATCGGGTCAACGGGGGAGTCGGAGGGTCGAATCCTTCCAACCAAGATTTATCCATCTCAAATCTGCGTCCAATCGATATCGCAGGGGATAAGCAACGCGTTCAACCAAGGCTCCGGCCAGGAAGCAACAACCACAACCAAAGAGAGTCTCTAGCGTCGACGAGCCTACCAGCAAGCTCAATCGAACAAAATAAACAAGCACAGATACACAAGAGTAGAGTAGAATAGTGTAGAACAAGTCGAACCCGAGTCCGCCGTAACCTTTATGTATCCCTGCGCTCAGTCGGCTATGCCTGCGCGCATCACCTCCTTAAACTCAAAAGCAGCGTCTATGAATATATTTGGCCTGACGTGAATTTCATCGCCATCAGTCGGTTACCTGGGATCGTTGTATTGAACAACTTCCGTGGGAAATAGACATAGATGCCGATCATGTTCATTGTACGGCGTGCCACGGAGCAAAGTACACTCTCCAGCCGTAGAATTTCGCAGATAGCACAGCAGGACTCATTGAAATTCGAAACATCTATCCATCCATTTGATTTCATCTGAAATCGTTTTACCAGGACGAAATCAAGGCAAGAAAACGAGCGAAACAGACGAAGAGCGCCTCAGGCTCGAGGGAGAGTCGTATCCAACCAGAGATAGAACGAGGCTTTGTAGTCATGGCATCGTAATCCATATCATATCATATGGAAGACACCGTCCAACGGATGCGCCCTAGATGCATAGTCGTCGATGCACTGAGGCGATGAAGTAGCCTTGTTCCGAGAGAGTTGATTTCACTAGACTCTAGACTGTACATGTGTCGGTGCAGAGTCAAGATGATGACTTGAAGCGAAGGATCTTCGTGGCGTGGGTAGTCCAGTTTCACACGCTCTTTCCTCCTGAACGTAAGCTCTTAGCCTGTTCGACATCTTTACTTTTTCTATCTTCTTTTCGAGCTATGTAAGTTACAGAGATATAAATCGAGAACGTACCTTAGAGCCGCGTTTGTACTGCTGAAGAACAACGTAACGACTCGGAGCCTTCCTTAGCATCAACTTGCGGCGAATTCCGCCATGCATACCGTAAGTATAAATTGATACGGAAGCATTGTGTGGGAGCCACTAAAAATATTCTGATATTCAGTAGATGATACGTTAATAGCTTTAGCGGTTCAGACAGTTCACTATGATAGACGCTCTGACAAACACCACCACCCGCGGCGTAAAGGACTCAAAGGCACAGCAAATGATGATCTTCCGAGAGAGACGTCAATGCTCTCGGACAAAGAAAACACGAGCAAGTAGCCGGAAGGAAAGACCCGTACTCACTGTACCCTATACATAGATACATAAATAAAGTTAAGTTTACCTACTAATATACAAGGGAAAGATTCCGACTCGCATCGAGCACAGGTAAACACCAGCGCTCACCGTTAGATCCAGGATACAAGATGGATAATGTGGAGGATTCGTGTTGTCATCATACATTATTACATACATGCAGAAAAAAAAGCACAGTACAAACAGATTGGTGATACATCGTCTTGTTTGATTAATTCCTTCTTGATCCACGACCATCCAACACACATAAGAGAACGTACAACTAATACAAAGTCAAAAACATTGTCTCCAGACTCACTTGTCTAGAAGAAAAAGAAAGGGCCCTATAAAAACAACAAAACGAAAAGGCAAAGAACGAAAGAACGAAATATCGTAGACATCGTGGCAACTCTCCGTAAGGAGTCGTGATTATGTTTCATCCGGAACAGTAATAGCAGAAGCTTGAGCTTGAGCGCCAATCGCGTTCTCATGAGATGCCACAGTCTCATACTGCGGAGGCGGTTCACCAGCCTCACTCTCCTCTCCAGCAACAAGTCGAGCAAACTGTGTGTTGCGCCTGTACAATGAAGCCACATCCGATGGTATATCTGATGGAAGAGGAGAGAGCGGTTGTCCTGGGGTGGAATAAGTACCTGAAAGAGGCGTATGCACCACCTCCGATATCGGAGACTCGACGTGAGTTTCGAAGGGATGTAGGAACGCGTGGAAAGGGCCATGGTGTGTACCGGAACCACTAGCAACAGGCGTGGTTGCCACGGGTGGAAGCACCGTCATCGCCTCATTTTCGTCAACGTTCGTTCCAGATCCGACCCTCCTTTGAATACACGGGCAGGTTTGTGCGCCTAATATAGAGTTCAGGGCAAGGGACGAATACCGTGGTAAAGAGGTCCACTCGGAATTGCACCGGCACTGTACCACAATTAGCTCATGCAGAACGAACATCGTCAATAAAGGAGAGATCTCTCACCGAAAGGATATGTAAAGGAGTTTGAACGACAATGTCAAAATGCTTCCTCCGACCAGTCTTCGCGTCTACAAATTCATCATCTCCTCTTTCCACACGGAAGACGATCTTCAGGAGATGGCTTATAGTGATGTTGCTCCGTTTATGCTTGTTGGTGAAATGCATTTTGGAACATGATTTAGGGAGCTGCAGAGAAGCTTGTATTGACCAAGGACCCGGACCCATTAAAGACGAGGCGGCTTCTGATTCGTCTTCCGCATCGACATATCCATGAAGCGGAGAGGTCGAATAGTCAGACGACAAAGGGAGAATTGGAGGTGAGTCTTTCTCGGGAAAACGAATAGACAACAGCTCGAACTTCCGAGTGGCATCAGAACGAGCAATCTTCTTGAACTGTGTGTAGTAGTCAACTTTCTCTGCGAAAATTTTCATATTAATCTAGAGTCGCGGAGGGGAGCGTAGAGACACACCTTCCAAATACGCGGATATTCGGAAAATTTTGACCTTTGCTATTGGCATAAAGGTGAGATGTATTGGAATTGAGGAGCCAATCGGAAAGGCTCTGCCAGAAATAATAATCATGTAGTGCATCTGCGAGTCCCATTCGCGTTGAACGACAATGTTATCGCTCTCATCTATGTCATCCTCGCCGGGGCATGCTATAAATGTCACTTCGCGAGTTGCAGTCAGTCGATGAGTAAACGCTCCGGGCCTATGCACTGTGGCTTTCAAACTGTACCCAACAGTCCCAAAATCGCATTGCAATGATGGTGGAGAATCACCGGGTATCGCAAATGAGATGGGGTATGTGTAAGTGCCTGTTTATTTGCTTTATCAGGTATCGTGTTCAAATGGGTCAGCAAACCACAAACCTTTCTTGAACTCCTTCCATCCTTCGCCCTCTCCACTCGCTGGCTCGGTATGAATACCGAGAACATCGGTAATCCGTTCTAAAGTCGATTTCTCCTTCTCTTTCTGCTTTGCATGTTCATTGTCTCGTAAAGTCTGCCTTCCACGCTCAACTTCCTCGTCGACGCTGTGATCCACCAGACCACTTCGGACGTGACTAGATCTGTGACCTTCGGGACTGTGTTCACGAGATGCAGTAGGAGTAAACGCGCGTTCTTTGCCCTCACGAGGTCGAGAGTTCGATCGTACCCGCTCTTTTACCGCGTCAAGAAGCACGTTGCTTACCATAGCAAGACTGAAGCGAGCATGGCGGCGACCGCGATCGCGGTGTGGTGAGGCGGAGTCTATGTGGTGCTCATTGTCTGTTGCACGCGACGGCGAAGCAAGGATACTTGAACTGTTGTTCGTACTATTATCTGCACTGGTATCCACAGAATCATGCGAAGGAGCATGTCGGGATGCTAAGGGAGAGGTAAGGGCTGTGGAGACGGATGGAGTGCGTGAGCCAGTTTGAACGCCATTCACATGCGTGGTGGGTATGTATGATCTACCACGACTGGCATTCCTATCGTGAATAGATGAATCGTGTTCGTCATGTGATTCGCGTCGTGAAAGAGGGATGTCGGCAATTGAGGATGAAGAGGAATGCGGTTCAGACGCTTCGCGCGATAGGTGATTTGGTTCTACGTGGGAAGATCAATGCATTGTAAGGTTCGAAGATAAGGATACATACCTGGATGAAGATCTGTCCTCGAAGCGGCACTTGCAGTGGATGTCCACGATTCAGTCCGGTGAGCCAATTGAGGCATGGCCATTGGTATCGATTGATTACTATCGGCAGCACGAATCGAGCCTGGTCGAGTGGTCGGGGGTGAATAAGGTGGCGTTGGAATATCATTGAACGAGGAATGAGGAATAAACTGCACATCCATGCTGACTCTCCTTCGTGAGTCTCTTTGCCAAGGAGGGGTCGGCATGCCAAGCAACTGAGAACGATGGGCAGCGTCCTCGCTACTCCCAACCTCCTCTTCAATCTCTTCATGATCGAATGTAAGGCCTGGGCCAACGGATGCGGTCCGTCGTGCAGAAGCAGTATGCGTCTTTCCTGCGCGGAAATAGACAGTAGTTGCGGAAAAGATCTCGTGTTCCTCAGTGACCTCTAATCTTCGGGCACCCGCACCTGTTATCTATAAGATGTCGCTGAACTAAAAAGACATCGTCTACGTGCCTTCAGGCCAGGATGTCTGCGACTTTCCCTCCAAGGTGATTTCAATGCTGCTTATTTTTGTCGGCTTGTCTAAGTTCAGAGTGAGCAACCCCCTGAGCATTGCTGGTTGGGCTTCTCTCGTGGTTCGTCGTCCAGTCACGGTTGTCTCAGCCGAGCCGCGGAGGAACACGACAGACTCTGTGAGACGGATGTCGAGATTATTCTTCGGCGCCATCCTGTTCGTCGTTGACGTCCTGCAAGAACGGGTCTTAAGGACTTGGAGGCTTGGATGCTGACCGGTGCCCCGATCCGAACCTGCATATGGTGTGCGGAACAAGGTCAAATTTTTGTCATTTTGTGTTCAAAGCATTGAATCTAGAACCTACTTGGAGCACCCCGAGAGGTTAAGCTGATTTTCCACCCTTATATGCGATGCAGTTTGAGAGATCGGTGACGAAGGCCGAATGCTGCATACAAGCAGGCCACAAGCATATGGGGAAAATTTGCGTCACGTGGGATTTACCTTGACTCTGAGTCAGTTCCAGAAATAAATTGCTTTGTCATAATCTATCGGATGGCGTCGGGATCGAGGAATCAGGATTGCGGTAAGTACATTCTAACGCCAAAGAGATAAAGAGCTTTCAGAAAGGTTGCCAGAGTTGGATACCTTTAATCTGGCATTGGAATAGGGGCATAGAGGTGATAGTCTGAGAGATTTTTGCCTCGCCAGGTGACCCACAATTGCAATATAAGTCGAAGGAACTCACAAACACAAGGGTAAAGGTTGGGGGGTAAAGTGTTTCTGTTGGACAAATATACTGTTTATAGTTTTGAATACAAACACATTGCCAATCTTAAGTATAGTGCCGTTTGTATGTCAACTGGTAGTCAGTCTAAGACGTCTAAGTCTCATAGCGAATTACGTAACATTCATCGTGGGAATCGACATGTATCAGGATTCAGAAACCGGTAAGTATGTATGAAGGATACATCTCTTTCTCGTACTGTTTCTTCACATCATCATAGCAACATATTCAGGCTAATTGCTCTGTAATGACTCCCTGCTCCGAGAAGACCTTATCATGTAGATGACTTCGAGGGATCCGACTTGCCCTGCCTTCCATCCAATAACTTTGTCGCTCCGGCCAATTAGAGACAACATCCCGTGTATACTCAACTTACAGCTATGTTGAAAAAGTGTTCGTCTTTCCTGATCAGGCAGATACATTAGTAAGTGATTTGCATTAATTTATTAGGCAGTTTGAGACGTGTCAAACCTTCATCTCGTGTCTCAAGCTGCCTAATAAGTTAATGCAAATCACTTACTAATGCATTTTCTTAATCAGGAAAGACAAACACTTTTTCTACATAGCTGTATAATACTTATCCGTGATCTTTACAATGCTTGTGGACTGATGTTACCTCAAACAAGTTCCATGCCCGGAAGCACTTCATCTCCATGGTTCATGCACATGGTTTGTTCAGGTTACCGTCATCACTTATGCAGGCCTTTGGTGGTATCTGATCCATGCCTTTTAGATGTTGCCCTGCTCCATCCTTCAAGCGAATCAGAGCGAAACTTTGCGCAGCGCAAGGAGAAAGCCGCGATACTCCTGTGCTTTTCCACATCGGTGAGCTAGACGATGCGGGACGACTGGCTGACAGCGAGCGGCTCTATATAACAAGAAATGGCATGCGTCAAAATCATTTATAGCATCTTTTCCCTTGAAGATCTTCGTTATTCGGATTCGAGGTCATATTCAATGTGATAAGCTTTGCTGGGCATAAGCGCAATATAATTGTTCTGTCAATCCCATATTGATTTTCAATAATCAAACCAGGTTGGGCTGTGCTTTAAAACAAAGCGCTGACAGATTTAAGACAGATATACAATTGGATCAGCGCTTGCTTGTCGGGGGTATTGGCATGCGAGCACCATGACTTGATGAACAACGTTCAGTTCACAGAGGTCTAGATTGGATGCTAGGTACAGCTTTACATCGTTGTAACTTGGTATTCTATTACCATCTCTGGCTCCAGTACGACTTCGTCTACCAGGATGCTGGCAGGGACCACCAAGCATCCGTGAAAGTTTCGAGACAATCACGTTTCAAATAGCTTATATTGCATAATAATTACATTCTTTTTCAGGTAAGGCTCGCGCGCCTATCATTGTATCAAAGTGCTTTGTCCGTTTATAAGCAAGCCAACATTCTCACGCTGAAAATGTACCCAATTTTAGGCGTCTTCCAAGCTAGAAGCAACCGGAGACTCATGTACCGAACAACGTGAAACGCGTATTCAAAGTCGCTTGCGCTCACTAAGTTGCCTATGAACATATGAGTGATACGATGGGCTCCTCCTCTCCACTCCTATCGTGTCAATATGTGCTCTGCGTTGCCCTCAGCTGACGACTATGCCTGGATATGGCCGAGACGAGCATACAAGACGTCGAAGTCAAGTGGATACCGTAGTGGACATTGTTACCGACCTTGCGTTCAAGGTGTTCTAGTCTTTGGGACCCCGACCTCGAGAAAGAATTGCCGATCTTCCGGCAATGAATACAAACGATCTGATAATGACACTTCATTATTGACATGGTTTTCAGCCCATCTATTCTTGATCTTTACGGAACTCTTTTATACTGAGTACCTGTGCGCTGTTTACACTTCTTCCCACTAGTACCTCACGCTAACGTCCCTCTAACAAGTCACTATCACGATCACGAAGGATGATCCCGAACGCACCTCACGAGTATGAGCAGGAATACAGACAGGATGTGCTTAATAGTGACGAGCAGACACATTCTACAGCTAGATCTGCCCCGGCAACAATGTCTGCCACCGAACCGACAGCCTCTACCTCTACTGCTGGCACTACATTTCCAACGAGCTCAAACACTGATGGCAGCCATCCTCTTCCGCCCGTACCTCAGGACGTATCACCAGAATCATCATCACCAACGCCTACTCAAACGATCGCAGCAATGCGGATGAACACTGCTAATTCTAACACTGGCTCGACATCAGTAGGGAGAAATGGGACGAACACAACGACAAGCTCGGGACTAGGGATGGGCACACCATTGCCGTCACCAGCGCCAATTTTACATGCGCAAACCATGCCTTCGCGGCCTGCACCACTGGTCATGCCTCATATTGTCGAATCGGACTCTCCATCATCCTTCACAAGCTCCGGTCCTTCAGGCTCACCCCCACGTCACTCTCGTCATCAACCTTCTTTACCCCACTTGCCGTCTTCCCCACTACCATCACGCACGCTGCCTCAACCAATTTCACGTTCAAGCGCAGGTATCAGTACTCCACAACGATCACTCTCCTTCGTTGAACCACCAAGTCGAGTCCCCAGTGCGCGGACGTACAGCGGTAATGGGCTCAGGTACTACAACGGAAATGGGGATGGCAGCGGAAGTCAGCCTGACCGTCACAGGACGTCCTCAGTGATAACGTCAATGGAGAAAGCCAGTATGCTATTCGACCCCGACGCTCCACCAACGAGTCCTTCTGGACGTGTCCTGCAGGTTGACCTCCCCCCACTTACACGTAATGATCGACACAGAGATCGGGATTCGCGTTACCACGATAGCGGAGTTGCGATGCCCATGCCCGCAGTTATGTCTGGTGACAGGGAGAAAGGGCAGATGAGCATGATGTCCAGCGGCCGTCGTAGCAGAGTTCGGACTCGACGAGGTGACGGGGGAGATGACGGTGGATCAGGCGATAGTGATAGTGAATCAATCGGCGTGCCAGTACGTCTCTCCGTTATGCCACCCACGTAGATTCCTGTCCATCCAATGCTGACTTTTTTTTTCGTTTATCTTTACTTTTGTTCATTCCTTAACTCGTGGCATATTTTGGTCGCCATCATATGTATGACTGAAATTCGGTACCAAATTGAATGCTCACCTACGAATGATAACGTGTCGGAATTCCTTCATACGGTGCAGCGTGTCCCGAGAACTGTCTTTGAGCGTCTAAAACCAACGATCGACCATGCAACAGCGGAAGAAGCAAAGTATTCGCGGAAAGGCACGTATATAGTTGTGACTGTTGAACCCTGTGGCACTGAGCTGATAAACTGCACGTGTATTTTCCTTTTCTTTAGCTAGAAATTCCGGATGGGCGCTGAACTTTGCAATCGGGATGCAAGTCTTCTTGAGTGCACTCATCACTGCACTCTCAGCGGTCACGAGCGGACGACGAGTGCGTCGTCTTGCCTTTCTCATTTTAGCTCTAATAACTGAAACTGATCCTTTCCCTTCGGTTTTCTAGACACAAATCATGACTTCAGTTCTGGGCGGTGCTGGTACAGTCGTCGCCTCTTACCTTGCTCGTGCGCGTGGTTCCAACGAACCAGAGCTCTCGATAGCACGCACTAAAGATCTACAACGCTTCGTGCGCGTTTGCGATGCATTTGTGCAGGACCACGGGCAAGAGACTGGTTTCGAGGAAAGCGGAGGAAAGGATGGGAGCAGGGACCTTCGAAGAGCACATGCACTAGATGAAAGGATTAGGGAGCTGCGAATTGAATTAGAGCACTTGCTTGGGAATGGGGATGGGTAAGATATGCTGCTTTCGATAATGTGAATCAAGATGACTAAGAAATGGATTACTGTAGGGAACGACGCCTCTCGCCGCCTGTATAGTTAAAGTATTTCGCATCTTACTATGTCTTCTCTTAATCCCTCCGTACGAATAGTATTTCTTATGTTTTTAACTTCGGAGCAAATTATGCAGGCAGGATTGGGCGGTAATTTGCATCTCTATTGGTGATTCTGACTACGATTTACAACAATCCTGGCACCATAATAGACACGTCATTCAATCTCGAAACCCCAGCGTATCCCAAGAGTCAATTTATAAGGGTTACAAAATAACGAACATAGTCAAAGTGTCGGTAATTCCAACTTCTCTGAATAGGAAATAACGATTTCTGGCTGGGATGAGAGTGCTATATTGGAAAGTTGAGTATAATGGAGGTCTAGCATCACGAAAAAGGCGCAACAAATGTATTTAATAATAGCAAAAGTAATCTAATGAAATGATTTCATAAGCATTACATTCTAAAATACTACTTGTATTTTACTTGTAATGTAATTATAATGATTGTATATAAATGTAAGAAATATACAAAGTTTTTATTAAACTAAAAACATGTTTTAGAGCAAGTAA